CTATAAGGAAGGCAGGAAGGAAACATTCTGGTGTTGTTTCTAGCCTAATCTTTATTGCCCTGCTTATAGAAACTGCCTCTCCAGTTAACCGTTATTACATTGCAACAGCTAAGGCGAAGCGCCCATCGACCTAGTGATGTTAAGTTGGGCACACCCACCCAGTCACATGACCACTGAGCCTCGCCTACCCAGCTGGTCATTAGGGCAGAGAACCAGTTGTTAAATTATTTGAATCCCACCACTGATAGGAAGGTATCCTTAAGTATCATTTCAAATTTGATTCTGCCCTAGCTTCTCTTTAAGAGCAGTGAAACCAGCCATCTTGGCTAAAATGATAACAATGAAAAAGTATTATTAAAAGTACACATGAGAAAGCAAGAAATTTGTGCACCTTTCAAAACCAATGTGAACTTTTTTTTTTGCAGTTCAGTATAAATAAGAATTAAGGTCATTAGGAAAAGTGATCTAACACCTGCAATATTTAACATACATTATATAATCTCTAGAGCTCTAAAACCTAATCTGACAACAAAATGAGATTCCTGCAAGAAAATAGCTTTTTCAGGCACACTAAATATCCTTCTGTTCAGAAGAATGTTTAATCCACTTGGATCATGTGCCTGGATTTTCTTAGAGCATGCTGAGATAACAACATTCCGCTGTGTTTTGGCACCATAAAAACATTTGCTTATAAAAATAAAAGAAAAATATAGTCTCATGGGGAGAATACCTCGTTGAATTTACTTTTTCCATAGTTTAAATATTGAACTTTCAAAAACAATTTTTAAATAAATATGCCTCATTCTCTTTGTGGGTCATGTCCAAACTTCAATTAATATCTTAAATCTGTCAATGTACATACATAACCTTTCTACATGATAATCACTTATTCAATGTAAACTGAATATTTGCCATGGGAAAAGAAAAAAAGACTTAAATCCTGCTCACACCTCCACCTAGTGGTATGAAATTAATTCTGCACCCTCTTTTCAATTTCAGAGCAATAAATGGATAGAGTATTAATAAATGTATCATTCTCTAAGTGTTAAAGCATTTACTTTCTCCAGAAGGTTTACCTGGGTGCTTGACTTCTTTACTTGGTTCTCTTAACCTGTATGTACATTCGTATCCGATTCCCTTTGCTATTAATTTCACAAGAAACGTTGTTTATGCATGCATACAGGCAATTAAACAAAGTGCCTTTTTCAGAGCCAGGCCTTCGAAAGGATGCAGATATATTTATGCTTGCAAAAGGGGTGCTTACCTCATGCTAATTTGCTTTTCATTCCCCCTGTGAATATTTGACCCAGTCTTAATCCTGATTACAAACATTTGAGAGGAATCTAATCTGAATTAAAACTCACTGATATAAGAAAGATAAATAAGGGTGTTTTTATATTCTGTCATGAAAATAATTATAAAACAAAACAATTTAGCATCATGTTCTTGATTATTTTAAATGTGCCTCTGCTTTTATCTGGAGGCCTTTCAAATTAATATTCAACTGTTAAAAATATATAATGTTTTTAATAAAGCCCTTCACCTTTAAAATTCAAAAGAAACTATAGTTCCTAGTGTGGGTTTTCCAACATCTAAAACACTGACTTTTGAAAATCAGGAAACAGAAATACAGACCAGAGCTTTGGATTCATTTGTGGGCTCATGTTCCAAGGCCACTTAAGTACCTGGTTGGTTCCTGTTTAATCTCAAAAAAACTTCATTTATAGAAATAGTAAGTAAATATTGCCTTTCCATTTAATCCCTCAGAACTAAGAAGAGATTAAATCTGCAAACTTCCCTTTCACTTGCATAATTTTTATGCCTTTACAAAAATTAACAGGACAATTTTCTCACAGTTATATCCATTTATATCTTTATGCATGTATTTTCCCCACACACTTTCCTAATAGAGCTTTAACGTGCAAACACATCTTGTATACATTTTAAAGCTGCAAACTGTATTATAAAATTTGAGTAAGTTTAGATTGGAACACAGAGATATTCTTATTTTTTTGTAAATGGAAGAGACCTCAATATAACACACACACACACACACACACACACACACATGCTTAGAAGAAATAAATTTCCTTCCTCTGCTGATCTTGTGGTGCATGCCTTTACTGTTTAAGATGCAAGGATGCCAACATTAAAACATATCCTGTGTTCTTTTTCTCATCTGGTCAATAATACTTCTGACCATGCTATAATCCATCATTTTTAAGATTAAGGGAAAAAAATAAACAGCCCTTCTCATACTTGCAAGTCTTACTTCAACTCTTCCTATTAATTCCACCCAGACCTTCAGCAAAATATGTCACTGGGCTTCCTTTCTAATGTTGAGGTGCATAGGCTTTTTTAAAAAACAAATAACCATGCTAACTTTTGAATTTTTCTCATATCATAAGCCTTATAGCAATAACTGTAATCTCTGTAATTGAGAAAATAATTCAAGTTTTTTCTTTGCGTCACACTTTCTACTGAATTATGAAATTTTCATTCAGAGCTCCTCAAACTCAGAAAATCCCCAGTAAATTGTTAACAGTTATTTTCCACAATTTATTGAGTAAATATTAAAGTCATCCAGCAAGAGGACAATTATGCATGTGTAACAGAAATAAAACATGCAAAACAAAGTTCTCAAAAATATATATCTATTTCACAGGGGGAAATATCAAGGAAAAGCTACTACCGTAGTAAAGTACCCAGAAGAAACACAGGTATATTATTTAAGGAAGTAATAATACAAAAGAAGATCATATATATTTATTAACAAAAGCAAATTAACATAAAGAGAAATATTTACTATACAGTATTGTGTAAAAAAGGACAATGTTGTGAATAGTAAGCTCCTCCCATAAAAACTGCTCTGTGAAACAAGTTCCACGCTTGTTCTCTGGTCTACAAGCCTCTTCTATCAGTGAAGGACACCAAAACTCTTAAGAGGGAAGAGAATTGTTCAGAAGAGAACAAAATGGTAAAGTCCTATCATATGGGCAGCAATACATTCATATGACATTGGATTTATCATAAAGCTTAAATTAATTTAAATTATATAACATTGAGTAATCTTAGGAAGCTAAGCAAGACCAGTTCTGATTAGTACTTGGAGGCCCCCAAGCGATCCCAGGCTCATTGTTAAATTTGGGATGACCAAATTCCACAAAGCAATGGCAAATCATTTTCATACTGTGTCAAAAAAACTAATTCTGTAAATATTATAACCGCCACTACCTGAGCTTGTCTTTGCTAACTTAATAGCACTAGCATTACCCTTCCTTCAAGGACCATCATAATCTATCTTTAACTTTGATGCTCTCCATGGCTTTATCTTCCTTATCTTTTTAGTTTTGTATCCCAATAAATCCTTACCCAAACCCCATTTAATCATTGTTCCACTAGCCTCAATGTTCAAATGCTATTTTCTCAAACATAATGCCAACTTGTGCTGGAATTCTAGAATTTTAGGTCTCAAACACTAACTTCAGAAATTTTAATTCAATGTTCCGGAAATTACCAGGTTATGAAAACTGTACTGTTTTCTGAAACTCAATTAGTCTGTGTTCATGAAAGCCAATTAGTATCTGTATATTAACTGTATGAAACTATTCACTACCAGATCTGTATAAAAATAACTCTATAAATAAAAGACAAAATTAAGAAGGTCTTAAGTGCTATCAACCTTTTGAGCTGCATACAAAAGTCATAAAAACTGGCCCTTTTATTCATATGAACTTGAACTCGAAAATTGACTCTCTGGAAAAAGGAGGGTACGGTTTTGCCTACATTAAATATTAAAACACATATAATGGGGAAATCCCAACATAAGAAACAACTGCAGGATTAAGTGCCCAAAGTGAAATGAAATATAAATGTTGGCTTGCCCCAAGGAATTAAGTCGGGTAATGCAATGCCAGCAACTTCTACTGAGATATCAGCAAGGAACATAATAGCTGGGGAGGGCTGGTTATATTACTCTCAGTATGTGTTTCATGAACCTGACACAGGTCCTGACAATGGAGAACTCAGAGGACTTATTTACTGAATACTCTTGAACTTGGATACAGCATTCAAGTTATTGTTAGCCTTATTGGATTGGTATGGATCAGTGCATAACACTGACGCACAGCAACAAGAACTATAGACTATACAAATCCTTGAAAAGAAATGTTTAGCGGTGTATTCTAATATCAAAATAGTTGGCCATTATCAAATGCATCAACTTCAGGTTCTCAGCTATTTGCTATATATAAACTCAACTGAGATGTCATATTTTTTTAACCTGCATAACAATACTAAAAACATTAAGATGGATGTATGTGACTTATTTTTACCTCTTGTCTTACCACACGTATTATTGTTCAATCACCCTACTCAAGTAATTAAACTTTGTGGGACAATCTAGAGGAATAGATCCTCTATGTAGGGATGTCCAAAACCTACTGAAACAGAACTCAGAAACAGGTTCTCTGCAACATTATCCTTCTCATCTGATCCGTAGCAATATGGCATGGTCAAAAGCTACTCTAGAGCTAAAGCTGGCATATTCTGGATGTGGTCACCAAAACATAACTCTTTTGCCTGGAACACCATGCTAGAAACCTCACAAAATGCTTATGATTTGGATGATGAAAACCATTGGACCACCCTTGGAATAGCCAAATGAACACAATCCAGAGTATAATGAGAACCAATTTGGATTTCTGCCTGAACCTAAAGGATTTACATAAACCTACTTCCATGTTATCCATATTACTCTCATACAGATACAAATCAGTCAGAAAAAATATATGAAAGTATTGTAAAGTGTGCACTGATAAGTATCTGATTGTACTTCATATTACTGTGCTTGTTCATTTTAGCAAATTAGAATACATCCAAATAACATTGCCAAATATATACACAGTACATTCATATAAATACATGCTATATTTCAATTTTAATTCTTCTCAAAATACATACAAATTATATGTTGCTTAAGCAAATATCCATAGGCATACCATCCAAAATAATGTCCCTGTGGCCAGAGTTGCATATTGATCAATCGTGGAAAGCACACTGAATATAAGGCAGATCAGCACTATGAGGAAACTGGGGGGGAAGAAAAAAAAACAAAAATTAAAATCACTAAAACATTTAGTTAAGGTTATTTTTTTAAAAAAAAGAAACAATAAATGAGAAATAAATAAAATTTCCCGTCTTTCAATAGTGTAATAAGCTGCAAAGGAGAAAAATAAAGATTGATCTCACTCAACAGGAGAAAAATAAAGATTGATCTCACTCAACAGAATGTGGGATAAAGGGACTGTGAAGGAACTTAGTCTATTTTTTAGCCTATTTTTTATCAAGTAACAAAATCTTTGGATAACGTTTTACAGGAAAATAGAAATTCAGCTTCTCCATTGAGACACAAAGTTAACAAGCTATAAACAATGCTTGCAAAGATCTATCTGTTCATATATAGATGTACCCACACAAGGAACTGCTTGCACAGGTACATGGATAGTGTGTGGAATTCCCCTTACCAATTCAGCTGCCAAGGTTGAAAGTGTAGTTCTTTCAACAAAAAATGACATTATCCCATATAGGTCATATAAATAAGACCAGAAATGAAATCAGAGCAGAATTTAGAACTTTCCATTCTAATCATTAGTTCCAAGCAAGCTACCCAAGAAGAAAAACATTGATTTCCACTACAGTAAGTTGATAAGTCCGGAGAAAAGGTAAGGATCTTATTGAATTGTTGCAAAACTATTTCAAGAATCTGCCAGAAGTATATAATTAAAATAAAAAGTGATTACGCATATTATTTCTGTATTTCTATAAATATAGTTCTTTGTGTTTATACACAAGCCCAAAATGTTCATTCTGATGAACTTTTAAAGACCAAGTAAGACAGCACATTTAACCTAATTGCACAAAATTGGAAATTTTGCAGCTCTCCATTGGGTATAGCATGTCAGATGCTATTTCTCAAACCGCAAAATATGCTGATCACAGATATGCTGAAAATTTGCTAGAAGATGTTTGCATTATAAAATATGAATAATACATTACAGAAGCCAGATAATAACTGAACTAGTGATTTCTATACAATGAAAACTGGAAATTGTTAACATTTTGATTTAGATAAACGTTTAAAAATAAAGAGAAATATATTAATGTTAAATATAATTTTTAAGATGTTAATGAACACAGCCGTGTGTGTGTGTGTGTATACACATATACTGTGATCCCTTGAAGTTACTTCTCAGAGAGCGAAATATTATCTGTGTATTATAGAATTTCAGAATAACAGAGTTGGAAGGGACCTTGGAGGTCTTCTAGTCCAACCTGTTTGACCATCTTATCCTAATTCTGTCTCCCTTCAGCTTTCACTATGCTGGAAGATACATAATTAAGCAAATGCCATTTTTAACTCTGAACTGGAATTCGTGAAATCTACGACATCTTCATCCTTTTTAAGAAAGGAGAGATCTTAAAATGTGAACTGCTAAGTTTCTGATTACATATTGCAGGGTTTGGGCATTTTAGCAGATCTAAAAAGGATAGATAGAAAGATCCTGTTAAGTAAGAACAGGAACCAACAGAAACTAATACAGGTAGCCTCACTTAGCAACATCTTGAAGTTATGACAGACCTCCTCTCCCACAAAAGCTACTTCCAACCCAGTTCCAGAGTTCCATGGTTATACACAACCCAGAGGTCACATGACCACATTTTCGACACCTGGAAACCAGTTCATCTTTACAACCAGTTGTAGCATTTCCTAATCATGCAATTACGATTTAATCCCCGCCACCTCCGTTTCCAGCCTTTTCAGTTGATTTTCAAAGAAAAATGCCCAAAGAAATTGATTAATTGATTAACTTAATCACCACAGTATTTGCTTAACTGCCATGTTCATTTAATGCCCATAGCGCTTGTTTAATGATTGCTGGAAAAAAAAAAGGTCATAAAATTGAATCTGGTCACAAGGTCCTCAATATAGGACCATCATGACTTAAACAGAAATTCCAGGCTCCATTAAGGTCATAAATTGGAGACTACAAGTGGTCCTCAACGTATGACCACAATTGAGCCCAAAATTTTGGTTGTTAAGTGAAACATCTGTTAAATGAGTTTTGCCCCATTTTATGACCTTTCTTGCCTCAATTTTTAAGTGACTGACTGCAATAAATTAGTAACCCGCTTATTAAGTGAATCTGGATTTCCCATTGATTTTGCTCATGAGAAGGTGGCAAAAAGTGGTCACATGACTTCAGGACGCTGCAACTGTCATAAATATGAATCAATTGCAAAGCATCTGAGTTTTGATCACATGATCACATGGGGATGCTGCAAAGGTTGTAACTGTAAAAAAAATGGTCATAAGTCACTTTTTCCAGTGCCGTTGTAACATTAGTCACTAAATGAACTGTTGTAAGTCAGTGATTACCTGTACCTGTAATTTAAAATATTCCACCATATTCTGACAGCATATCGTTTAACAATATAATATGCTCCATCATGGCTTCCCTCCAGTGTAAATAGATTGTCTATAAAATGCCCTCCCCTCCATGTTCTTCTAACAAATTGTTACAATCCGTTTCAGAAAATCTTCAGAGACTTCGGTATTGGTGTTGTGAATGAAATATTGTACAGTGGAATTATATTTTTTTACTTGTTACTTTATTTTGCAGAACTTACTGTTAATTATATATTGTGTTGAATTTTTTAAACTATAAATCATTTAAATATAGAATTGAAGGACTACGAAAGTCTAGAACTAAATAATATCACCGGTGACACAAGAATGAGTTTACAAGAACTTAAGGAAACAGTTACTGACAGAAAAAAACCTGGGAAATGGTTTATTGAGTAACAAAGAGACAGCATTTACTGAATAACTACGCAACATTCGGGACAATTGTGATTTTCTGCCATCTGAGAATTACATTTGATTCTATATATGCATGGGTTTATTTGATAGATTTATATTCTGTCTTTTCTTCATGAGCTAAAGGTAGCAAGCATATTACTCCTGCCTCCATTTCCCCCCTCCCTTAGCAATAATCATGTGGTTACGCAAGTCACGGGCCTGCGACCTGGAGACGCAGCTGACGGTGGAAAATGGTGCTCAATGATCCGAAAAGCGGACCCTGCACCTGCAGGAATACCTAGGGGAAAGTAGAAGACAATAATCTTGGGGGATAATGTCTGTGTGTGAGAGAGACAGACAGATGGACTCAGTGACTGACTCAGAGACAGACAGACTGACTGAGACTATTGAATTTCTATGGCTAAATTTAAATTGGAGTCTGAGTCTTCTCAGTTAACCCCTATGTTACATTGGTTCTACAATCACTTTTCCAGGTATGTTACAAGAACTGAGCAATCAACACCAAAGTGACCATAGATTAACACCAGATCAACAATCAAGGAGAGAACAATATACCCCAATCAAAGAATTGCCAAACAAGCCAACAGTAAATAACCCAATCGTCCCCCACCCAAAAAAAACCCTCTACCAAGACCACTCCTGACACAAGGCAAGCCACTAGAATACAAATTCTCTACTAGTACTGATGATGCTACCTAGTTTCGGTAATGAGACATGTGCAAGAAAACAACCAAGCTAATAACCAAAGTCAAAGAGCACCAAGATATCCCTTAATCTTCAGTAAGAAGATGAAGAGCCGAGGTGGCAGAGTGGTTAGAGTGCAGCACTGCAGGCTACTTCAGGTGACTGCTAGCTGCAGTTCAGCAGTTCAACTCTCACCGGTTCAAGGTTGACTCAGCCTTCCATCCTTCCGAGGTGGGAAAATGAGGACCCAGATTGTTGGGGATAATATGCTGATTCTGTAAAAACCGCTTAGAGCGGGCTGTAAAAGCACTATGAAGCAACATACAAGTCTAAGTGCTATTGCTAAGAAAAAGAAAAATATGTTAGAGAGGTCCTTACACAAGAGCTTGTGAAATTTACTTGTGTAAGGATTCCTAAATAAAGAGCAAAGTGAAGTGTTTTTTTTTTAAGGGTCTACACATCCATTCATATTACAGTATTAAAGTCCTTAATGGGTCATAAATATAATAGAAAAGTGGGAAGAATTGATATTACACTCTAGTAAAACCAGATGTCTCCGTTCGTAGCTGCTGCTGTTCAAGAAACTATGCTAAAATTTTGTTGGAAATCAAGATAACCTGTGAAGGTAGCCATTGATTGTTACTTTGAATTAAGCAGTAAATCTAACCACTAGATGGCAGCATATCAAAACACATGACATTCCTTCATCAAGTACAGTATTATAAAAGTGTATGAGGAAAAACAGAAAATATAAGGTGAAATATAAGGTCATATATTTACAGAGCTGAAAAACATATTCATTTAACTTATATAATAAATATGCAAAAAAAAGTCTTTTTCTCCAGAAAAGAAGTCCAGATACTTTTTTAAAATGGCTTTGGTACACCCAATAACCATTGTATTATATGCTGATTTTGTAAAACCACTTAGAGAAGGGATGTAAACCACTGTGAAATGGTAAATAACTCTAAGTGCTATTATCATCACCCTGCTCATAGACGTAGAATGAACTCACATACAGACAAGAATGAACATGCCATATCTGAAAAGACCTAGCAGTATTTTTACTTCCATTATGTTTAATTGAAACAGCTGGTTCCATCACAATGTTAAGCATATTTCTAAAAAGATGCAATTTGTACCACTTGAAAATTATCCCGAATCTTTTCATCAGTGAGTCTCAGAACACCCAAATGAAAAAAAAAAGTGGGAGACTGAAAATGCAAGGCAGATGTGGTTTGTGTTTAGATACAGATATTCTAGTTCTTCTTATAATATCAGGAAAGCAGAGTTCCAGAGAAGAGGGAAAGAAAAAAAAAAGTCCAATGAATAGAAGAGGACATTATATGACATTTTAATATAATCAAAGAGGGTAATTGCTTGACGTAGAAGAGATAAAAATAAATAAACATCTGGGTTTCCTGGTACTAGTGCCAGTCATTTTATTTGCACTTGACTGCAGGTTAAGAATTTAGAGAAAGTCTTATATTTCATGCATTTTCTCAGCATTGATTATGTAACATCA